CCCTTTTCTCCCAATCCCTTCCGCTGGGCTGCTTCGTCTGCTATGTACCCTGGTTCTGTACCCACGTAGGAGGGTGCAAAAATATCCTGCTTGTCCACGCCACTCGGCCTTCCATTTGGTCTTCTCTAACCTTTATTGCTTTTTAGGTCTTTTCTTTTTTCTTTTTAGCTTACTCCGACTTACTCCCATTCTTTGACGGTGGTGTTTCCAGCAGCTGTTTATAAGCGAGCGGTGCCTGCTGAATTTATTGGTTCGCCAATTGAAATTCTATCCAGTAATCGTCTTCCGTTCACCTCGCGACTCAGATACAGAGGCGCAAACGTTTAAACGCGACAGACTTGTCGAAGCTTTGCTGGCTCAATTGAAAGAAGTATCTCCAATCAAAATCATCCTCCTTCGCTACTTAACTCTCGGGATACTGCTCTGGAATCCCGTTTGATTCACGAGCCCTGCAATGGATCCGTCGTATTCTCAACATCATCATCCGCAAAATATGCAGCACATCAACCAGCATCACCCTCACCAGCAGCAGCAAGCAGCACAACCGCCCCAGCAACCCCAGCCGACCTATGATTTGACTAATGGCGGCCATTATGGTGCGTCTGCGGCGATTGTTGCTTCAGGTGTGCAACCACAGGTTGGCATTTACACAGGTCCCTTCACCAATGTATCGCAGGGTCTACAGGGCACCTACAAGGACATCCTATCCACTTACTGGGAACACTCGATCGTATCTCTCGAAAGCGAAGACCACGACTACAAATCCCACCAATTGCCCCTCGCCAGAATAAAAAAAGTTATGAAGGCGGATCCTGAGGTAAAGATGATATCGGCCGAGGCGCCGATTCTTTTTGCCAAAGGGTGTGACATGTTTATCACGGAAGTAACGATGCGAGCCTGGATACATGCAGAAGAGAATAAGAGAAGAACCCTGCAAAGATCCGATATAGCCAATGCTTTAGCCAAAAGCGACATGTACGACTTTTTAATAGATATCGTCCCGAGGGAAGAGGCGACTTCACATACTAAGAGGTCTACAGCTGGCGGCACCGGTGCTGCTAGTAGCGCTGCTTCAGCCAGCAGCCATCATGCAGCTCCACAGCAGCAAGTTCCTACGGCATCAATTCCTCAAAACCATCAAAATATGATGCCACCGCAAGGAGGTTCCCAAGCACCACACCCTCCGGGACATCCGTCCGGTATGCCTTCTCAGCAATATGGGATGGCACCTCTCGATACCCAAGATCCAAACTATGCCCACTACCAGCAGAATCCTCAGGGAAACACATATACACAGGATGGGCAAATACAATACGATATGAATCAGATATATAACTATTCAGCTATGCCACCGCCGATGCAACAACAAGTAAGTGTCGTCAAAACGTTGAAAATAGCTTAACATAGTGATATATTATCCACGTGCTAACGTTCGGGTCTGACAAACTTTGTAGCACATGTAGATGGTCATTACGAACCGCACAGGCATACCACGAGAGAAATTACGGAACGGCCCTACAGAACGAATACAACCATTACAAACTCCGGCTTGACCCTAAGTTTACACACAACATAGATACTTATATATACGCACACCTCGAACATCATACCGATAAGTGTTCGCGCGCTCGCCGAGGTTAACCTAGGAGCCACCGGGGATGGGATCGAGCCATCATCAAGAACGACCATTGTGGCGAGTATATGAGATGCCAGTCACATTCGTTCTCTTCCCCGGCTATTCACGACAACCTTTCCATCAGGTACCAAGTTCACCTACCCCGCGAATTCATCCCCCACGGACACTTTAAATCACACCATACCGCTCTGAGAAACAGGGTCAGAGACTTGAGATCATCACCCCACTATCCTTTCCCTCATTCCCTTCTACGAATGTATGTTATACGCGAACGAAAAACAAAACAACCAACTATTTGTTAGGTATTACGGCAGGAACACCAAAAGAACTATCTTTCCCGAACGATTGATACTTCCCCTTGACAGAAAAAATACAGGGAAGAACTTTTTTTTTTTTTTCCCCTCCATTTCGGAGGAATTCCAACACGATCCACGCTTCTCCTTCATCTTCTTTCCTTCTAAACATGTATTCTTCTTTTCTTTTTAAAATGATAAAATTAACTATTGGGTGGGATGGCGGACTCTTCGTTTTTATTCGTGCTTTCCTTTTGAAACCCCCAAAATTGCGAATTATCCCTACAAAGATTTGTTCTACATGATGGCGCTTCTGTTTGGGTGATGATGATGATAGCAATTGTGAGCCTTTTTTTTATTATGTATTCTTAGCAATCTCTCCTTCCCGATTTTCTCCAAGATTTTCGTGTCTTCTTTTCTTCTCCTGTAACCTTTTTTTCTTCTTCCTCAATTGCGCCGGGTATTGGTTCAGCATGCGCATGTTAGGCGTCCAAATTTTTTTGATCACTTTTTTTATAATATAAATTTTTGTTGAAAAATATATACTAAAGGACATGAAGGACTGTCAACTAGCTCCCGCGGCGGCGGCTTTCTCCTTCGGAATGCGATTCGAAGCTGAGGGTGTATACCGTCACGGTACTAGCATCTAGAACGAAAAGCTTAGGAGTTACTTAGCTAGCTAGCTAGCACCAACCAACAGAAACAACCAACCATTCAGATTAACAATCGTCACGCCATCATGCCCGAACTGTTTCATCTTAAAATCACGATCCTCTAGTGAAAAAGGCTTGCTTGTCATCCGATTTTTATCTCTGTTTCTCCTCGGGAAACCCGGAGGCTTCCGAATTTCCTCGTTTTCTCTGTCTCTCTTTTTGTTTTTTTCTTGTTAATTCCCAACTAGCCTTAAGTTGGGTTTCCAGAGACGCCGAAGCCAAGTAAAATATGTATAACCTCCACACAGTACATACTATGTAAATCTCAACCTTGCCCAAATATTAATAGCTACTCCTTGTCGGTCTAGCACCTGCTTTCGCGGACGGACGTGGGATAAGAAAACCAAAAAAAAAGAACGTGTGGGGTCCACTTTCATGCATCTTTGGAAATACTGCAAGTAGGTACCTAACTGTGGGGGTAATATACCACACACCTGCACGATACATGCGTTCATACATACCAGCGACTAACACCACCAGCCAAAAAAAGGGCCATCAGAGGTATTTCCCCAAAGAAAAAGTGAGGCCCTTTTCCCTTGCTCCCTTTCGCGACATGACAGTGGAGTTTGCTGCAAGTTTTCCCTGGGAAAGTTCTCAAGAAAAATGAGGGGTACATAAACCACCCCATATATGCAGACATGCTTCCTTGGACTTCTCACAGTACCTGGATATTCTCCCCGAGCAAACGAAAATACGAGCGGGGGGGGGCTCTTTTTGCCTGTCTTTTTGAGGTTGGGGCCGCAGGCGGCGTACATACGATGTAAGTACTTACATTACATATGTGCATTATCTGGAATCGATTTCAATCTCTCATTTTTTCCCTCCCTCCTTTCTGCCTTTCTTTGTCTAAGATCTATGTATGTATGTATGTATGTAAGTTAGGTATGTAACTTGCAGAACAGCCTGGCCGGGCTAGTCTACATAGTCAGCGCGCATTCAGCTGCAGCCAATTTTCTGGGAGGGAAAATATGCGTAAACCGAATGTCTAGATCGAAAAGACCTTCTGTCTACGTGAAAGCAAAGAGAAAAGGGAAAAAAGCCTTATTTTTCATGCAAAACAAGACTTTCCGCCGTGTCCGATAAACTAGGATCTAGCTGAGAGGGTGTGCTCTTAAAACCTTTTTTTTT